ACCATACATTTTTTTTATGATTTTTATTGACATTTCAAAAATTCGTCTTAGATGCCGCGTCACAAAATCCACTGTATCTCCGAAAATAATTCGAATTTTCAAAATTCCGTTTGAGCACATATTCTTAAGGGTCTAAACTTTGAAAATATGCAAAAAAAATATTTTTTCAAATTTCTAGACCAGAATCAAGCTTTCCATCCATCGTGCCGCAGGGCGTCCTACACTACGTTTGCCTAATCGCTCTAGCAGTTGTCGGCTCCAGCGACCATCAGTCCGCCTAGAGACATGATCGGCCAATTCCACTTTAGCCTACTGATTATCCGTGCAATATCGGTTACTCTAGTTCTATGTCGTTTTAATTTTAACGACTAGAGATACACCAAACACCGGACTCTCCATCGCACGCTTATTTTGATTAGTATATTGTAATCAGATAACTAAACCACGAAGATTATAAGCAAGTTTTATAAACAAACCTCCTTCATGTCACTTAAAATTGATTATTATTGTAGAAAATTAAATGCGCTGTTCTCTTGGCCCTCACTGAAAAGGAAGTTCACTTTGAATCGAGTTAAGTGAGCACCATGCGTTAAGAGTATTAAACTTTTTGTAGCGCCACAGAGTCTGTCAAATTGGGCGTGAACGGCTTAGGGAGGCTCCGAGAGGGAAGATATTTGGGCAGATGTGTCATTGTTCTATACCGATTTCGCTAAACTGTTTTGCGTTGGATTTATTTTCACCAGCAATTCAATAACTTATTGTTTTTTTTTTAAATTTCGATGAATTTATACAGCTTAGAGAACAAAATTAATTTTATCACAGACTATGTGGTATGTGGTGACGGATTAAGAGGTCCGTGTGGTGACGGATTAAGAATACAGAGTGTCACCACCCCTATTCATCCTGTGGGTGTCGTAAGAGCCGACTAAGGGAAAAAAACAAAGCGTCCTGCTTTGTTTTTTTCCCTTAGCAGCACTGCAGAGAGAAGGAAAACTTGACACCAATCCTTTACCAACCCGTCTGGCCAGCGTGGTATAGTAGGCCAAAACCTCCTTTCTCAGGAGAGGCTTATGTCCAGCAGTGGACTATTAAAGGCTGTTGATGAGGATGTGGTATATATATATATATTTGTCTTATTTCAAACGACTTAGCCCTTTATGATATTTAATTGAAACTTTTAGGTCAGATTCGGTTCCTGTTTCAGATATTTTTTTCGGATTTTGGATAGTTTCGGTTCTGATTACAGAGCTGCTTACCATCCCTGATTTGATTTAGGTAATGTATAACCATAGCATCAAAACATAGCGGCATGGTCTCCTTTTTAATCTTATATTTATAAAAATATTAAGTTGGTTTGTGTTACTTCAAAAACTCAATAAGTCCACTCCGATTGAGCTCAAAGCTGAAAGATTGTTTTTATCTATTTTCATGTAAATGTTGTTCCTCATTTCTCATCAATGCTATTAATTGTAAATCAAAATACTAGAGACTAGTGATGCCATCTGTCATTTAATCATAGAGACTGAAAACCTTTGTGTCATAATTTGTTCTAGAAATAAGTTAGTTTATTACAGAATGCAAAAGGTGTAGTTTCATTAATAAATCCAAAGACAATATACGAGTACCACAGGTAAGCCTGGCACTGTACAGCTAGTAGATTATTAAAAATTATTATAATTTACACATTCATTGCAATAATGTTTTAATCAGCAAGAAAAAAATTGCCACCTTCTAACTTTTTTAAATCCATAAAAAGAACAAGAGACAAAGAGAGATACTAAAAAGATTCGACATAAATAAGTTTTCCATCCTTTTATAGCATTTACGTGTTTTATGCTATAATTTACCGTCTTCGGATCCTAAGCTTTTATGGGATACGGTTAAAATGTATTTTTTCTTAAAGTATTTTGGATGAAATAAAGTATTGTTGTAATAAAAATGGGGTTCAGCGTTAAAAATGGTCCTTGTTTACTCAAAAAACCTGAAAATAAATATTGTATTCGATCAATATAATTATGCGACGCGAACTATAGGTTTCTATAATATGAGAGGCAAACGATCAAATGGGTGTCTTGATAGTAAGCGACTAATCTTGAGTTTATGTGACCACTCAAGAGTCTTAGCGCGCTCCCACCTCCTCTTCCATTGGTAAGAGCATTGAGCTCTGGTAATCTCACTTACGACACAGGACAACAGCACTACAAAGAGAAGGAAAACTAGACACAAGCGCCAACCAACTCGTCTGGTCAGCGTGGTATAATAGGCCAAAACCTTAGGAGAGGCTTATGTCCAGCAGTGGCTGTGACATGTTTAAAATTTTTAAAGACCTAATAATAATAATTTAGCACAGATGAAATAAATTTTATTTGTACTTTCACTGAAAGCAATATAATCTTTGAGTATGGGAGTGTGCAAAACACTCTAGTACCACATTTACTCACAGCATTTTGATTTATTTAAGATCCTCCTTAATTCAACTCTCGATAAAACTTTGGGAATGAAGTTTTCTGTATGTTGTACAGTACTTATTATTAACAGATATGATAAATTGAATTTTGAAAACAGACAAAAGAAATCATACCCAATATATGAGTTTAATGGAATAATTAAATGAAAACTAATATCATGGATTCTGTCAATAGTTTGTAATTACTGTATATCATCTAAGTATTCTTCTATAATAATAATAATAATATTCTACCACATTCACAATACGCCATCTAGTCCCAAACTAAGCAGAACTTGTGCAATGGGTACTAGACAACCAATATAAATACATAAATACATACATATTATACATAGAAACACCCAGACTAAATCAAACATTAAAAGTTCATGCACACAAATGTTTGAGTTGAGCGGGAATCGAACCCGCGACCTTTGGAATAGCAGTCTGTTACACAAACCACTACGCCATCCGGTCGTCAAAGGTGTAGGATGTATGGTGTAGCAGCTTTTAATTTCTAGGATTTGTTTTAGTTTATTTACAAAGATGTTAATTTTTTCTTCTTTTTTTATGGACTCTGGCAACTTATTATATATTTTTATTGACATGACCAAGGGGCCTGAGGAATGCATTGCAGATGTGAGGTTGGTAGGTTAAGTCTATTTTTGTGTGCTAGTGTGTATATTTTCTCTACTAGTGTAGTGTTCCGTGTATTTCCGGACAAATTTACAAATTTCTAAAATGTATATAGACGGCAAAGTTAATATTTTTAGCTTTTGGAAATGGGGTTTACATGTGTTTGTTTCTTCTATATTCTCTAAAATTTTCATTAGTTTTTTTTGTTGAAAAAATATAGTATGTGCTATTTCCCCATAAAATAACGCCAAAGCTTAACCAGGAATATGCATAGGCGTAGTAGGTGACCAGAGCTGTTGCCAGATCAGTAGTCTTTTTGACTTCCAGTAGTACGTAGGAGAGTTTTGAAATGTTTGTTCTCACTCTTTTGACATGCGGCTTCCAGCTTATTTGAGTGTCTTCATCAACAACAACTTCCAATTTGACGTTTTCAAAATTAAAATCTATATTTATTGGTGCGTTTTGATGAGGGTGGCAGGGCATTATTTTTGTTTTTGTATAATTCATTTTTAAATTATGTTCAGCCACCCAGAATGCTGTTTTCTCCAATTTACTTTAGTTTGTCATTTAAATTTAAACCACTTTCACATGTGACAAGTAAAGAGATATCATCCCCAAACAATACACAAGGTCCATAAGGCTTTAGGCAGGTCATTGATATAGATGAGAAAGTAAGCAACCTATCACGCTACATCTAGTTTATTAGAGATTTTTCCTATTTGGCTAGTGGTTTCGTTAAAAAAATCTATCTCTACTATTTGCTTTCTGTCCGTTAGGACGTATGATGAGAGCCATCTGTGAGCTTGTACCCGTATGCCAATACCATATAGTTTGTGTAATGGGATGTCAAATTGCACTTTGTCGTAGGCCTTGATCATATCGAGCAGTACACCTATTAAATATTTTTTATTATTCACAATATTTAGAGCTTCTTGTATGTACTTATAAACGCTAAGACTGTTGATCTGTTATGACGAATTTTGGCATTTGTCGAATATCTGGTATTTTTCGCAGAAGGAGTATATTTTATTTCAGATCGCATTTTCGAAGATGTTTGAGACAGTGGGCAACAAGGCAATAGGGGGTAATTGCTTGGTTCTGTTTCTGAGTTTTTTTTGTGGATTGGTTTTATTACTGCGTGTTTCAGTTGGTCGGGAATGAAGTCCTCTTGAAATGACTAGTTTGCTAACATGTACAATAATTAGTTCTTTAGCACAAAATCTAAACAGTTTGGGTGGAAACTCATCTATCCGATGGCTCTTTTTGTTGTTTAAGTTTCTTAAGATTCTGTTAATTTTGTAAGGCTGTACAGGACCATGTAGTATTTTCTGTGGGATGCATTACAGATGTAAAATTTGGCTTCCCGGCCAATGTAAGAGCGGTTGTATCTCCAACGGTTGCAAAGAAATGATTAAAGTAGTTAGCAATATTTATCAGTTAGTTTTTTAGTTAGAATATTAATCATTCATATTTCGATTGTTTATTGTTTTTTATTGGTCCTTTCATTTATAGTACTCCACATATCTTGTTCACATAGTTGTTGTCCACATTTGTTTTATTATTAGATTTCATAATTTTATTTTTGTAGTATATTTTTTTTTTGAAGTTGCTACAACATTTTTTAATGTTTTTTCGTAGTTTTTGTAATATGTTTGTAATATTGAATTGTTTGTTCTCAGTACAAGCACTTTAAGAAGTCTTTTATTTCTGCAAGAAAGTTTAATGCCTACTGTCAACCAATATTTTTTAAACAGGTTTTTTATTTTTAGTTTTCGTACTGCCATGCATGTATTTAATATACCTGTTAGTGTATCCTTAAAACCGTTATAGTTATCATTAGTATTTTTTATTGTTCGATAAAGTGTTGTGCAAGTTTTGCTGATTTAGTTAAGTTTTGAAGTGTTGCTTATTTATTACACTAAATATTCTTATTTTTGTGTGCCATGTAATCTCTTCTGTTTGCTGGGGGTAATTCAAGGTGAATGGCTGTTCCATTGTGGTCAGAGAAGCCCAGTTTTGGTGGTCTCTATATATTTAATATGTATGCATTTACAAAAAAAATACAAGTATTCTATCAGTCAATCTAGCTTTCATAGTCCAAGCTCTGCTTAGTTTGAAACTAGATGGCGTTGCGTGTCAGATGTCTGAAATTACCACCTAGCATATATTTTTGTCACTCAACTACCTACCATAGGTCTGTGAGATCTCACAGAGAAATGGCCCTAGAATTATAAGAAATTGTACAGGTAAGGTATGTTTTTAATAAAAGTCTGTATGGAAATACAATAAACTCTTTAATAGAATACAAAAGGCACATGAAAATCAACAACTTTTTTTTAAATGCACTTATTACTATCAATTTACCTACTTTATGGTTTACAAAGTAACATTATTCTATAATGAGATCCATAACAATTTTTTCATAAAATAGGAACTCTGTTATACTATTTTTTAACACTTAAATAATCAACAAGCAGTATGAAACATAAAAAATCTTAAAAATATTAAACCTTAATCAAAATTGCAGGACTTAAACTTATTGTTTTTCACGACATGAATTACACAGCTTATTTGAGCACTCGAGACATATAGGTGCTTTGCATTCAGGCCGGGGTGGCGGCGAGCGCGTTGCGAAGCGCGCTCGCTTCCAGGGAGCACAGGGAACATGGGGTTCCCACACGGGGCGGGGGTCGTCTACTCGTCTGTAGATGACCCCCTGGTATGTCTGGTATGTCGGGGCACCAGGGCCTTCCTTTCTAGGGTATACCTGGTTCCCCGGCTATTAGTACCCGGCGAAGGCGTGCGGTTTTAGTCGGTTCGAGTCCGACATGCCACCGACAGGTGGTATCCGAGGGGATTTCCGCACGGAAAAAAAAAAAAAAAAAAAAAAAAAAAAAGGTGCTTTGCATTCGAAACACATGTACTGTGTTTTGCGGTATCTTGTATACAAACAAGTTGTACAGTTTTTACGTACAGTCAACCTTTCTTCAGCAGTGCTGCTTGATGGAACTGCTAATAGCGTGGTTCCCTCGTTTTTGTTGAGGATACTTCGAATAGCATTACGTATGTCCCGTTGCAATTTCACGTTGCTTACACGACGTTCTAGATGTGGTCTTACAAGCTGTTCAGCAAGGCGTTTCAGGAATTTGAACCTGCTTTCAACTTTCTGCCCTTGAGGTGTAACAGAAAGGCTCACGACATAGGAATTGGAGGCAGAAATATCCAGTAGTCGATAAAAAATAGCTAAAGGCCACCTACGAGTGCGACGACTTGTGGAGTAATTTGAACACCTTTGGTCGAGTAGATCCACTCCAATTTTAGTTTTATTGTAAAAAAGTATAACCTCCGGTTTCTTACTGGTATCATCAATATCTGGCATGTGATGCATACTCGAGACTGTGATGACAGCTCTATTTTTTTTTGGCACATATGAGGATATAGTGTAGTCTTTGGTAAATCCAAAAATAGTAGAATCCACGTTTCGGCTAGAATTTGGTAAAAAATCACGGGGAATTTCTTTTTGATTCTTCCTCATAGTTCCAACACCCGTGAGTTGTTTCTTTTTCAGCAACTCGAGTAATTCAATAGAGGTATACCAATTGTCAGTGGTTACGTTACGTCGAGATCCTTCAATTGGAGGAATCAATCGCATTACTGCTTGTGTTGGTTTCTTCATACCTTGATATTCTGCTGGTAAATTCTGACTGTCGGAATCTTTGCCTACATATATATAGGCATTGAGTAGGTAACCAGACCGTGCATCTGTGAGACATTGAATTTTTATGCCATATTTGGCTGGCTTCTTTGGCATGTACACTTTGAACTTGCATCTTCCTCGAAATGGCACCAACATTTCGTCAATAGATGCGTAGCTGCCGATTGCATATAAAGCTTGACATCGGTCAATAAAAGACTTGAAGAGGTCAGCAATAGGTGCAGATGAATCAATTGCTCGACGCTCTGGTCGAGTCGCTGTATCGTCAAAACGTATAGCATTCAACAACACTTCCAATCTGTTCTTACTCATGATACAGCGGTATATCTCCCTTCCTGTGCCATCAGTACTGTACCATGACGTATAATGTTCACGGTTTTCTTTGAAGATTGCCGTATAAAACAGGAATCCTATAAATGCTTTCAATTCCATGAGATCTAAATCTTGAACACAATATGAATTTTGGTACTTTGGTCTCATTTGTCTTATTTTTATATTAGTTTGAACAACGATATTTTCAAATATTTCGTCTGTAAAAAACTGCTGCCAAATATCCAGCGGTGATGTGGAAGAATTTATTGCACTCCTAAACGCTGGCTTTACACCTTCTCTTTCTTGCATTATATTATGCTGCAATGTTCTCGATCGCGTGGAAGACGGAGCAGACGACCAACGAAAACGATTCTTGCCGAAATATTTTTTTTTTCTACCCCTCGATTGTATTTGAGATAAGGGCTCATCATCTTCAGATGAAAACTCTCGGGTGCTAATGATGCAATTACTCGGGGACAGACAATCTTCCTCATTCTCCACTGTAAGTAACTCCTCGCCTTCCGAATCTGATCTACTTTCCTCCAAGACATGACCTATCTCAACATCAGACTCCACATCACTATATTCGTCATTTGGTATCTGTTCGTCGTCTGACGAGTCCTGTTCCAACCACCGCTCTATATTATTGTTACCAGAAGCCATTTATAACTAAAACAATAGAAAACACAAAATGAAAATTAATACCGGTTTTTTGATGGCAAGTGTCCATACGCGGTGGTAGTCACTTACCATCAGGTGATTCTTTATTTCTAAAAAAAGAGATGCTGCCTGAAAGTATTCTGAGATGCACATCAAGGAAGTCGTAACTGTTTACTTCCTAAATATATCTATAGTACAATCAAGAATTAATGTTTTACATTCCAGTACCGGTAACGCACTGTGTTACTTCACTACTTGAAATATTTACGAGTTCTCTTTAATTAAATTCTACAACAAATTGTTTAGGAAATGCTTTTATTTTGTGTACGATTGTATTTAAGCAGAGGGCTACAGCATTTACCTTAAGGTAGTCTGAAAATCTTGCTAAATACTGATGAGGGCCATAGATGAAATAAATCTTATTTACACCCTTAGGTTTAAGATGAAGAGCAAGTTACGCTTGCGAAGGAGACGGCAGAGACGGCGGACAGCGAGAGATTTGGAACTGTCCCAGTCCGCCAGGCCCGGGAACGGGCCAGGTGCCGCAGACGACTCAGACGACGGAGGATCGCAGAACGATCTCTGTCCTCAGGCCTGGGAGTGACAGGTAAGGCCATCTGTGTTGTTGAGTTTTGTGTATAATGTAAGACTTCTTACTACCAAATACGATAAATTGAAAAGTTTTTAATGAAAAATGCATTTTTTACACTTGTTTTTAGTGACAAACAACCTTCTTTTCTATTTATATGTTGGCAATCGTGCAGCCTATAGAATTAACAGAGAAAAAATCATTCCTAATATAAGTGCTCAAATCACTTTATTCATGTCTATGTATGCATAAATTTAATCCGCCTGCACTTTGTTCATTTAGGACTATTTATTTTAAACAGTAGATTTTTCTTATGGGATTATTCCTTTTAATTGAGAGGTAAAGACATCTAATATTGATAAGGTAATTGTAACAGAGAACTCCAAAGTTACATTTGTACTTAATACATACTTTTTACTTAATTTGTACTTTACCTAATGGTCATATCTCACAACCTTTTACAATAACTACGTTGCGAGACTTGTATTTTTTACGTATACTCGTAATATTTTTGATAGTGCAATTAGGAACGTTAACTTGTTTTTAAAACTGATGTTTTTTAATAGTCCTCGTTCATCTAAAATTTCCTGTGTCTGATCTCTGCAAAGTGTATTTTCAACAATATCACTGTCATTTACGCATTTCATAAATTGATTAGATCTTGATTACTAATGTATCGTATGTGAAATGATCCGAATTTATTTAATAGTCAAATTGAACTTAACAAAGTGACTTCACTTGTCTGCAAGTATTTAATTTAGGGAACTAAGGTTTTTCTAAACCACTAAGATGAAATAAATAGTAATAACTTCAAACATCTCACACACGGCAGTCTGATCACAATCTGCTAATAAACATAATCGGAATTGAATTAAAGAAAAGAACCTGTTATAATAAAAAAAAAAAACTTTTCACTTCTGTCGGAGTGCTGCTGTTTTCTTTTATTAATTTATGGGAATATCGAGTCAATGTCACCAAAAGGACTAACACTGCCATAGACACCTGCAACTCAAAAAACCCATGGGCGCTACCACTCTTTGATTACGACCCCGCCCCCCAAGAATTTTATCTCCTCCCTTAACCTCAATCATTCCATTCTCTCAATGAAATGCAACGAAAGAATTGTTCATCATCGATTTTCTATTATGAGACTGGTATCACTCGTCGATATATAAACCCAAACCTTACAATTACTGTTTTATGTTTCAGCCTCGTTTTTGCAGTAGATAGCGTTTGCGACTGCTGTGCTGAGTTCTCTAGTTCGATTCCCGGGTCGGACCACATGTTTATGTGATCTGCAAATATTTGTTTCGGAGTTTGGGTGTTTTCTATGAACGTGTATAAAATGTATGTATTTACAAAAATAATATATACATATATATATATATATATACAAATATAAGTATTCTATCAGTCAATCTAGCTTTCATAGTATAAGCTCTGCTTAGTTTGAAACTAGATAGCGTTGTATGTTAGATGTCTCAAATATTTATTATTATTATTATACTCTTTATTTCATTACATATACATATATATTTATTATAATATAAATATTTGGTACCTATAGGATGCCTATGCTTTCAAAACTTCTTTTTTGTTACAATATTTTCTAATCGAGCGCTACTTGCTTGAATAAATTAATAAGCATAATTTTGATCCTCAATCTTGGGTAGTCCTTTATTACCTTGCTTACACAACAGTAGGTTGCTAATCCTTTTTTGGTTATAAGTGTCACCAGGGCAACATGGGTTGACAGGGCAGACTTAGGAATTACAGGCGTTTATAGCCACCAATAATTTGATTACAGGCATATTTTTTAATTTCAATTAATGTATTTTGAAATGAAAAATTATTATGAAAGTGTCTTAGAGTATTTATATGATACTGTGACAATGGGAAAGCCATGGACCCATATTTTGGCACATACGGGTCGGTAGAAGCGATGTTATACCATGACGTCACGGTGTTAAACAGTTCTTTTGTTGCTATACAGCGAGCAAGTGAGCGTACTGAAAAACAACCTCTGATTCTGTGAGGGAGAAGGACAGAATGAAGTGGTGGCAAAGGACTTGCATCTCTTCTAAAATTAGGAGATCCGTCTGCTCATTGGCTCTTTATAAATTGCTTTTCCTTTTATAACATATATCCTGTGTCGCGGGGGAATTTAAAAAAATATATTTAACGGACACAAAGAACACCCACACTCAGAATAACAATTTGTGGATCACACAAAGTGGTGTACCGCGACGCTGCATCCTACTGCGCTGAGTGTTGTGGGTGTGGGACCCAGCGGAGGAAGCAGCGTGGCAGCCGTTTAAACCACTACGTCATCCGTGAAGTCAATAGTCAGTCATATAGTGAAAAACGCCTTTTGTACGTAAAATCTACAAAAGCTCTTAAGTTACATCGTCAATATTTTAAAAGATCTTTGAAGTTAATAAAATCAAATCGGCCCAAAGTCTAAATAAAATGCGAAGAAAATAAACACATTCCAAAAATGCGATGTCATTGAAGTTGTTAAGAATGAAACGTTTACCTGTCGTGATGCCTTTCCAAATAGGAAGGGTTATCGACAGCTCGTTGCCAACAAAGGATGCAATTTGTCAAATCAAACAACTCTCTGGATGAAAACACACGAGCGATTAATCGTCACGGTGCCGCAGATAATTTATCTATACCTTTAGATTAGAAATAATATTTTAGGTTACTCGATGTAAAGTTATAGGTAATACTGTGTCCTGAGCACCCGATAAACCTTGGATACAAAAGATTCTCAAGGGGTGATTAATTAGAAGGTGTACATTATTCAAGGAGGGCATTCTATATGAGTGATTATGATTTTCAAATTTCCTAAGAAAGGCTTGCAGATTGACAAAGAATCAATCTAAATACGACGAAAAAAAATTGCATGAAAAATTGTTTATCGATAAATTACTAAATTTCACAGTATGGAGATTAAACTTTAGAACGCTCGGAAGCGTCGACTGCAGCCAATTAAAGTTACACACATACATATATGCGATTCTTATCTGCTGGAGCTATTGCTAATACTTCCAAATCTACATATTTCATCATTTATATAATTATGTAATTTAGATTCTTAGACAATCAGATAATTAGTTATAAGCTCGCAATATTGCCTTGGAAGTATATTCCTGTAAAATATTGTGAATGTTTTATAAAAAAAAATATGCAATATTTCTTGCCTAACCCTTCTCTTATAAGCTACTATTCCTATCATAATACTCACAATTTTTCTATTAATTCCTTTAAGTGCCCATTTAAAAACACTAGGCTTGTTCTGTTCCGTAAGTAAGACTAAAATAATAGTTCGCAAAATGTAACAAAACAAAAGTAAACATGCATTATAGATCTACTCTTGTGGTAAGACAGCGGTTATGGCGCAATGCAATTACGTGTATTTTCTTGAAGAGTAAATCGTTCTACCCTCAACACTAGAGAGCTGATCGAGTACTCTAAGAATTTAACAGATTACTGAGCGATGCATACCTCTACAATAAAAAAAAAATTGTATCTTATGGTATAAAAGATCAAACGACTGATCGTTTGACACGATCGTTTTAATTTATTTTAATAATTTATTTAGTTCTTTTTTTATATTTTTTATATTTTATTCTTTAATAAAAATTTTTTTTTTTTTTTTTTTTTTTATAAGTTGTTTTAATTTATTTATTTCATTCAATAATTTATTATAATAAAAACAAATAAATCATTATCTCAAAAAACGTAATATATTTTCAACTACCGATATTTATACCGATGCCAATGGCTACTCGATGGCATCTCAATAGCGTGTCAGTGGTATGACACTGGCTTGGCGTAAACATAAAATAGCAGAATTGAGGCCCTGATTGTAAGTAGCCCTTGTTTCTTTCTAACGCTATCGTATCTACCCCTGCGACTCAAGAGTTATAAGTGCATATCACCCTTAAAATCCACCTTCCAGAATGGCCCGAGGTATGTCGGGGCACCAGGGACTTCCTTTCTAGGGTATACCTGGTTCCCCGGCTATTAGTACCCGAGACGGCGGGCGGTTGTAGTCGGTTCGAGTCCGACATGCCACCGATAGGTGGTATCCAAAGGGAATTTCCGCACGGAAAAAGAAAACAAAAAAGGGGAGGTGGGGTTTAGGCTCCGATAACCTCACTTACACCGTGAAAGGCTATGAAATAATTGCTTATCGCCATCAAACCCTTGTGATTCTTGCGTCCAATCAGCGGCGGTAGTCACTTACCATCAGGTAACCCGTATTTTCGTTTGTCCCCTATTCCATAAATGCATAAAAAAGTTTAATATTTTAGCGGAAATTACCTTTTTGAAATCGATTTAAAGTTCCTCTTCAATACAAGTGATTATTATTTTAAACAAATTGGCAATGGCAAAACCAATTGAT